CCCAGTGGTGTATATGCATAGAATGCCACGCAACCATATCTGCTTGGTAGTTGTTTGTGTGTATGTCAGACACCTTTTTGAATACTTTTCAACCGTTCTCTTCTACCTTCTTTATTGATAGATATATTTCCACTACTTTGTGTATTCTCGATCACTGCTGAGGATTTTTTCCAACTGTGTCTATATGTGCAGTTTCCTCATCTCATAAAGGGTAAAACGCCATTTTCCGTAGTGCAGCAAATATTCTCGTAAACAGGTGAGGTTTCTGTATCCTGGAAAAACATATCCTTAGTATTAATAGTACCATTCCAAGGCCTTCTCCGAGCCCTACTCTCATTCTGAGGTTTCCCTAGAGTTGTAACAGGACTAAACCGAGGGAACGAACGTCCATCCACAGGCGGCTTTCGGCTTGAGACAGCGAAAGGACCTCCCCCCCCTTTCCTTTCTTTTAAGACACAAACTAGGCGGTTCAAAGCACCACTGGGCCCCAACCCCGTGTCGTTGTTACCCCATTTCTGTCTTACAGTCCTGCCGAAGGGCATTTTCCCTTAGCTCTACGCTACACCTTGAGAGGGCGTGGTCAGAGTGCAATGCCCAATCCCTATCGTCATAACGACAAGGCGGCTCGCTTTGTGGACTACTACGCGTCTGCGGATATGCTCAAGGAGTCCGTGAATCGACTGTATTACGGTGGGATGGCGTGGAAAAGGGCGACGGTGGCGCAGACGGAGCAGATGATTTACCCTCCGGAGCCGGTGGTCTGCCGGACGCAGACCGAGATCGACGACTATCTCCATCACCGCGTCCATCACGAGCTCCTTCGACGACAACAACACCGTGTGGCTCTCCAACGGGAGCTTTATCCCGAACCCAAGGGGAGTCGGCGTGTGCTTAACGAGAGAGAGCTCCAGAAACACATCAAACATGTCTACAACGATCCCATACGCCGTCAGAAGCTTCGCCAGCGCGAGATTGAGCGTGTCTTTGGGACGGAGCGGAGAATCAACCCCGTAGGGCGGGCCCCCGAGGAGGAGAAGACGCTGAAGGCCTTGGAGGCGAGCTGGAGGCCGCCTTCCGCTTCCCCACCCCATGACGACGACAATCATCGTCTGCTTGTTTCGCAATACGAATACTACGCTGATCCGAATAAGGCTTCTGATTTATTTCTACGCCAGCGACGCCTTACAACGCAGAAGGATCGTGAACAAAATCTACGGCGTCTGGCCGATTTGGCAAAGCCGCAGCTCATCACACCGCGGCATAGTGATGAAAAAGAGTCGAGTAGGGGTCCTATCTTTCATGTGCATCGTAAGATCGACTACAAAGACTAGGACGTTCATTGATTTAGATTAAACTTCATCGAAAAATTGGGCTTGAAGGTGCTGTTTTGAGCGTGTATGTGTGTAGTATAAGCTTTGCTTCATTTCACACATAAACACGTTTATAATTACATATAGGTAGCTCGTTTTGCAAGTACTTGCGTAGAATAGATATTCTAGAGAGCGGTTCATTTTTCATTCTCTGGATCATGTTTTTGTTCAGATTTATTTTATTAAAGGAATATATATGAATATAGATATAACTATATATATCTATATATGACTTACCCCCTTCCCTCTTTCCACCACCACCACATTTGTTCAATGAACCCGCAAAAAAAAATTTTTTTCTTTCAGTTTTCCTTTGTTCTTAGACTTAAGGCGGAAATGATCTTGTTATATGTGGCATTGAGAATGCGTCAGGATTTCATTTTCAGATCATGATATTGGTTCAACCATATCCAATTCCATTCTTTTGTTTCGAAATAATTCCTTTCTTTCTATCTCACCATTTTATTATTTGTTATTATCGATTCTAGGGATTTCAGAATTCTGCTGGTTCTTGACGGAACTGAGTTTTTTTTGCATTAGATCCCGCCTTTTAAGAATATCAATTTCCCAACACGTATCACCTAACAAGGACGTGTTAAGGAAGCCATATCTGACAAAAGGCACTTCTCCCTCGAGCAGCAAGAAAACTCTTGGGGTTGACTGTGTGATAACCATAATAATAAAAAAACGAAAACCTCGTGTGCGGGTTTGGAAAGGAGGCGAGGATCGAGCCCACCCACCGATTTCCCACACCAATGCACCCCTCCGAAGTGGCGATTCGCTGCATGGGGGTCCTTTCCGACGAGGAAAGCCCCTTTCCGGTGTTTCTTGGACGGGATGACGGGATTGTGGAGAAGTACGTCTCCATTCGGGATGTGGATCTGGGGATCCCCTCCCTCACCTTGCGTGGGCACCGCAAGGCCGTCACCGCGCTCCTCGCGGTCTCGCCGGATGAGTTGTTGAGCTGCTCGCTCGACGGCACCCTGCGGGAGTGGAATGCGGATGGGATGTTGGCCAAAAGCGCCGCGCGGCTAACGCGCCGGATCGATTTGGTCGTCCCGCTCTACTGCATGGCGCGGCAGGGGGAGCGGCTCTACCTCGGCGGCGGGGACGGCTCGCTGCACATCGTGAACGGCGTGCGGCGCTCGACCTGGGAGGGCCATCGCGACGTCCTCGCCTGCATCGCCTTCGCCGAGGAGGGGAATTTGGTCGTGACCGGGGGCTACGACCACCAAATCCTCGTCTGGGATGCCACCGGGGGGAAGCCGATCCGGCGTCTGCTCGGGCATTCGAACCGCGTGATCGGGATCGGCGTCGTCGCCCACCCCGAGTTCGCGAGCGGCGACGAGGACGAGGAGGGGGCCGCGCGGGGCCGGGATCGCCCCCGGCCTCGTCTCGACGGCGCCATCGTCTCCTTCTCGAAGGATCGCACGATGAAGGTGTGGCTTCTGCCCAGCCCCCACGAGGAGTTCGGCGAGGAGGTGGCGGGGCTCCTGGACAAAGGCTCCTCCGGGACGCAAAACGGGGCCTCCTTCCCGAGCGTCAACCTCAACGCGAACGAGGCCAAACCCCCGTCTTTGTCCACCTCCAAGACGGACGCCCCGGCGGAGGCGGTCGAGGGGGGGGGGAGGCCGCGCCGGCCCCGGTCGACGCCCGCAATTCCCTCAGCCTCGACAACGCCGTGTCGGATACCAAAGACAGCAGCAAGCGGGTCTCCTTCATCGGCCCCTCCGGCGAATTCCACGAGGAGGGCCTCCTGCCGAAAGTCCTGATGGTCGAGACGCCGAACGGGGGGTTCGGCTCCCCCCTTTCGGGCGACCTGATGAAGGTGATCCGCACTCCCTCCCACCTCAAGTCCGCCCTCAAGTCGCGCGAGATGCACCTCTTGATGCTCCCGCTGATCGAGGCCGTCGGGACGATCGAGCTGCCGGAGATCCCCTTCACCTTCTCCCCCCCCTCCGCCCTTTTGGACGAGGAGGGCGGGGGGGGAGGGGGGGCGGCGATGGCGCTCGTGGGGGCCGCGAATGGTTACGTCTGGGGGATCCACCTCGCGGGGCTCACCCGCGACGTCCTGCGCTTCGTCCGCGAGACCGACCACAAGGCCGCCGCCGCCGCCGCCGCGGCCCGACGGACCCTCCGAGAGCAGGTCGCGAAGTGGCGGAAAAGCTGCCAGCGCCGGGTCCGCGCCAAGCGAAACGCCCTCATCGCGATCGCGCGGATGCGCAAGTCGGCGGAGCGCGAGGCCGCCCGGGAGGCCCAGCGAAAGAAAGACCGCGAGAAAGTCGAGGAAGAGGGCGAAGAGGGCGAGTACGACGACGACGACGACGACGACCATTTGCTCGACACGAACGAGGAGGTCGAGCTGGAGATGGCATCGGAGGAAGGGGAGGAGGGGGAAGAGGGGGTGGCGGGCCGCCTGCGCGATCTCTCCGACGCGGAGAAGGCGGAGTTGGAGGGCTTTGTCCGGCAGCAGGAGGGGGAGCGGGATAAGGGGATCGCGTCCCATCAGGCCACGGTCGCGGGCTACTTGGATCAGCTGCTGCCGGTTGTGCGGACGCCCTACGTGCGGGGGCGCGATCAGTTCTACCGCCTACGCCACACCGCCGTCGCGAAGGTCGGGAGCGAGACGATGCTCGCCGTCGTGCGGGGGCCCGAGCGGGTCTACGCCGCGCAGGGCGGCCGCGTGATCACCACGCAGGTCACCCCCGGCTTTACCAACCTGTAGAAAAAGGACCCGCCGCGGTGGATTTAACGGCGGCGCAGGCTCTCTCGGAGGCGGCGCTTGCGCCGATTTGAAAGGAACACGTGGAAGGGATGAAAAAGAAAAAGGATCCAGGGACGATAAGGCGGATGCGTCCTTGTGTAGCCTTTGAATGGTCGCTCAAATCGACTCTGTACTCATGTAAAATGGTCAATCAAAACACATGAACCGATGTGAATAGTTTCATTAGGTGAATTAATCCTTCTCGAATCAGCGGAATGAAAGTGATGTATTGCTAAATGGGCCTTTCATCGAATGTTTACCCATGACGCAGCCTCAAGCAATGGATTTTTCTTTTCTCTTACCTTTTTTTTTTTATTAAACAAACTCTAGGCTAGCCGAGGTTTGGTTATTTTTGAGAAATCCCGACATGTCTCACCACATTAAGATCCGCGACCTGCGGGACCGGAGCAAGGATGAGCTGATCAAGCAGCTGACGGACTTCAAGAAGGAGCTCTCGCAGCTCCGCGTGGCCCAGCAGACCGGCGCGGCGGAGTCCCGCTTCGGCCGGATTAAGCCCATTCGCAAGAGCATCGCGCGCATCCTCACCGTGCTCAACCGGAATGAGCGCGTGAGCCTCCGCAAGTTCTACGCGGACAAGAAGCTCCGCGCGAAGACGCCGAAGAAGCTGCTGCCGAAGCTCACCCACCGCCGCCGCCTCGCCCTCAAGGACGGCGAGCGAAACCGCAAGACGCGCCACCAACTCCGCATGGCCCACCGCTTCCCCAAGCGCGTCTACGCCGTCAAACTCTAAGGCGGCGCCGAATGGATTTTATGGGAAACCCTATTGGCAGCTTTTATGAGTATTATTTCATCCTTTGTTTTGGGGTTGTTGCACCTTTAGAGGTGCAATAATGATAAAATCGATAATTTCCAACACCACCGCGAGACTGTCGGGATAACTGAACTCCGACAACGCGTTACGTGGCACCATTATTGGTGATGCTGGGTGCATTGCTCCCCCTATGTCTTCTCTTCTATCCTTTTGTTTGCTTTTTATTATTACTGGTATCATTTCCCTTAGGATA